AAAATTTGATATTTAATTTATAAAAATATATATTTATAGCGATAAATTCAAAATAATACACAAAAAATTTCAGTATTCGATATGTATCATTTCAATAGCAAAATTGATATCTATATCGGTATGGTACTGAGTACTTTGACTATTACTATTTGATGTTTAGGGATATCAACGGGTGAGAGACAATTGGGCTTTGATCCACGCCGTTGATCAAGGCAGCAAGGCCAATGTCCCTTAACTTGCGCCATTGACCTCCCACCAGTTAACTCAGGTGGACCCCCAGTTCAGCGCCATTTGGTTCCTCTATATATCCTTCTCTCGTCGAGACTGGATGGTTTTGTTTACTGCTTCTTATACCCTCTCGCAAGTCCGATACTGCCTGTTTCCTTTCGTCTGAACCTTCTTCACGGCATATCCATCTTCCCCACAGAGAAGAAATCGGCCTTGGTGCAACAAGTTTGGATCCGGATCTTGAGTACTTTGAATCTTACTTCTGTTTGTGTTCCCCTCGATTCACAGTCAGATTTGTGTGTGTTGATGTTTTTGGATCTGGTTATGATTCATGTCAAATCTTGATTTCCGTTTCAATATATTTTTTTTATTTGAACCTGCTGAAAATTGGAATTACGGTTCAATATTATGTTGTTGGTCTTATCATTTTATAAGATCTGAGATTCAAAGGAGATAGATCTTGATTTGGGATTGTTGATTTGGTTTGTGTTTGGTTTTCAGTTATGATGGGGCTGTCTTTTGCGAAGCTGTTCAGTGGGCTTTCTGCGAATTCTTATAGTGGGTCTTGATGCCACTGGTGAGACCGCCGTTCTGTATAAGCTCTAGCTAGAAGAGATTGTGAGTACTATTCCCATAATTGGTATGTTCTTTATCTGTTTTTATAAATAATATATTTAGTTGTTCATGTGTTGTTTGATCACTAATGATCTTTCTGTTTGGCCTTCTTTTACAGGGTGTAATGTGGAGACTGTGGAGTATAAGAACATCAGCTTTGCCGTTTTAATATTTCTTTATTGTTTCGGCCCAGGTTCACTTCTTGTGCTAGTAATTCATGCAGATTAAGCTTCTTTGATTTAATTTTGTGAGTTCATGATCAGTTAAAGAGTTTGAGTGTCTTGATGATGTTCTGTAACTGTGGACATGCAGCAGGGACATCATCCATCATGCAAAACGATGCTGGAAACCATGCAGTAGATTTGAGCCAGTTGACATCATCCGAGGATTCTATCTTCAGAATTCCAGGCTTGTTTAAAATGCATAATGAACAGGCTTATGCGCCCTATAAATTCTCAATTGGTCCCTGGCATTTCGGTAAAACACAGGAGTTGCGCACGGGACAAAATATGAAAGAGTCCTATCTTGTAAGATTCATTAATCGTTTCGAAGATCCAGAAGCAAAGAAGGATGAGTTGGAAGAAGCCATCAAAAGGGAGCGTGAGAAAGCTAGAATATGTTACGAGGGAGGGGATGTTTATGGTGGAAAAAATTTGGATGTGGCCATAGAAGAATTTGAGGAAATCTTGCTACTCGATGGTTGCTTTATTATTGAATTGTTGTGCACGAGAGATGCTCCGCAAGTCTTTTCATGGGTTAATTATCAAGTTATTCTTCACGACCTGTTATTACTAGATAACCAAATACCTTGGTTTGTGCTTGAGCTCTTGTTTGATGAGATCCATGACCAACCCCAATTCACGGATTTAACATTGGTTAAGCTGGCCAGGGATTTCTTTGCATCTGCTATACCCCCTTGTGAATTTCAGCAACTGCAAACTTCAAATATTTTACACGTGGTTGATTTTGTGTGGCGTTTCTGGAGTGACTCACAAAAAATGAGATTAGGCTCCTATAATGAGCGATTTACCAAGAAGTCTATTCCATCTGCCACCAGACTTAAAGAGGCGGGAGTCAAATTTGAAGTCATAATTGAAGAAAGACTAAGGCACACCTTGGATGTAAGATTTAACAAGGGTGTCCTCGAAATCCCATGCTTGCTGATTGGTCCATGGACAGAAACAATCTTAAGGAACCTCATCATCTTTGAGCAATGTAGCATTGGTTGCACCCCATGTGTGACGTGGTACGCCGTACTTCTAGATTGCCTAGTCGACACCGCAGATGATGTGGATTTACTGAGCAGGGCAGGAGTTCTTGAGAACAGGTTAAACCCTGAGGAGACAGCTAAATTCTTGAACAGACTTCGTGATAACACTCTCATAAATGGCTTCCGTTATGATAAACTTTGCGAAGATGTCAACAATTATTGCAAGAGGGGATGGCCGAGGTGGCGAGCTTCTTTGATCCAAAACTATTTTACTAAGCCATGGGCTATAGTTTCTGTAGTTTTTGCTACGATCGTTTTGTTTTTCACCATAATGCAGGTTTTCTACAAGTAATTTTTGTAGCGCTTTTTAGATAAGCAAAGATACTGTCTGTTCTGTATAATCTTTTTTTGTCAATATTGTATCTGTTGGATATAACTGGACTTACAAGGATTCTACAGTGGAAGAGAGGAGAGTTTGGAGACTATATTTCTCTGTATTTACTTCCTTGAAAATAAGAACTTGCAAAGTTATAGATAAATCATAATCACTGGTTTTTCCCTAGTTAACTGGTATACATGAATCTCATTCTTTTAGATACATTATTAAATATTATTCATACCAAATACATGAACTGAATATTCAAGGCATGTTTATCCTTTCAACACTCCCCTTTAAACATGACTTTTTCCAATTCCAAGACAGCTTCTTAATTTCTTGAAATCATCAAACTTGAGAGCTTTGGTAAGGATGTCTGCCATCTGATCATGAGATTTCACAAAAATTAGCTGCACCACTTTGTCTTCAACACACTGGCGCACATAATGATACCTAGTATGAATATGTTTGCTTCGTTAATGAAATTGAGGATTCTTTGCCAATGCAATTGAAGATTTGTTGTCAACATATATTTTCGTTGGGCCCTCTTGTGTGACACGAAGCTCTTTTAGCAAATTCCTCAACCAAACTACATGAGTTACACAAGAATTAAGAGCAACATACTCTGCTTCACAAGTTGACAGAGTAACAATGGGCTGCTTTTTCAAGCTCCAAGTAAAAGCTGTATCACCCATGTAAAACACACATCCAGTGGTGCTCTTTCTATCATCAATATCTCCGGCCCAATCACTGTCACTGAAACCTCTAAGAGTGAAGTCATTAGAGGCAAAATAATTCAACCCGAAATCAGTAGTACCTTTTATATAGCGAAGGATCCTCTTTGCTGCCTTTAGATGAACTGTTGTAGGAGCCTCCAAATATCGACTAACCAATCCAACTCCAAACAAAATATCAGGTCTTGTGCAAGTTAAATATCTCAAGCTTCCAACTAAACTCTGAAAAAGAGTTGCATCCACACTTCCACCTTCTTCAAACTTGGATAGCTTGATGCCACTGACAACCGGAGTATTCACTGGTTTACAATTGCTCATGTTGAACCTTTTAAGCACCTCTCTCACATAATTTTCTTGTGAAATGAAGATCCCTTCCTCCATCTGCTTCACTTCTATGCCAAGATAATAGGACATGAGTCCTATATCTGTCATTTCAAACTCATTGCTCATTGCCCTTTTGAATTCTTCAAACATCCTTGGATTATTGCCTGTAAAGATTAGATCATCTACATACAGGCAAACAATTAAAATTCCACCATTGCTCACTTTTACGTAGAGAGCATATTCATAAGGGCACTTGACAAAGCCATTCTCCTGAAAGTATTTGTCAATTCCACAATTCCAAGCTCTTGGAGCTTGTTTCAAGTTGTAGAGAGCTTTCTTCAGTTTAAGCACCTTATTCTCTTCACCCTTTACAACATAGCCGAGAGGTTGTTGAACATACACCTCTTCTTCAAGAGAGCCATTTAGGAAGGCTGACTTGACATCCATTTGGAAAATCTTCCACTTGTTTTGAGTTGCTAGAGAAATTATCAACCTTATCGTCTCCAGACGAGCTACCGGTGCAAAAACCTCTTCATAGTCGATGCCATGTTGCTGCTTATAGCCTTTAGCCATGAGCCTTGCTTTATATCTTTCCACCTCTCCTTTAGAATTCTTCTTCTCTTTGAACACCCATTTCACTCCAATAGCAGCATGTCCTTGAGGAAGAGTGACTAGCTCCCAAGTATCATTCTTTTTAATTGCATTCATCTCCTCGTCCATTGCTTTTCTCCACTTTTCATCTTTGGCAGCTTCATTGAAGTTAATAGGCTCAATGTCTGCAAAAAGACAAAATAGTGTAACATCATTAGTTTCTTCAATTTCTTCAGTTTCTCGATATATATCATTGAGCCTCCTTGTTCGCAACGGCCCTTCACTTGAGCTTCCTTCTGGGGATGAAATTTCACCACGAGACGGTGATGCTGGGGGAGTGATGATTTCTTGCCTTTCTTCATCATCTTCTTCTGCAAAAGACGGAAGAAATTTATAATTCTCTTCTTGAGATTTCCAATCCCACATGGCTTCTTCATCAAAATCCACATCTTTACTGATGACTGCTTTGCCACCTTCTGGATCATAAAGACTGTATCCTTTTGTTCTATAGTCATAACCAACAAACACATACTTCTTGCACTTGTCATCAAGCTTGGTGCGCTTTCCATCATGAACATGGGCAAATGCAATGCTTCCAAACACCTTCAAGTGATGGACTGAGGGCTTTCTTCCACTCCATAATTCAATTGGAGTTTTATTTTCAACTGCTTTTGTTGTGCAGCGGTTCAACAAGTAGACTGCGCACTCAAAAACTTCAGCCTAGAACTCTCTTGGCATCTTCTTGGTCGTCATCATACTTCTTGCCATATTTAGAATGGTTCTGTTTTTCCTTTCCACCACTTCGTTCTGTTGTGGCGATCCTGGAGCAGTAAGAAAATGGCGAACTCCATTGGCAGCACAGAACTCTTGAAATTCTTTAGAAGTGAATTCACCTCTTCTGTCATATCTCAATGCCTGGATTTTAAAGCCACTTTCCTTCTTCACAAGTGCTTTAAAATTCTAGAAACACTTGAACACTTCTGATTTTTCTTTAAGAAAATATACCTATGTTTTTTTACTATAATCATCAATGAACAAAAGAAAGTATTTGTTCTTACCGAAAGAACATGGGGTGATCGGCCCACAAACATCAGTGTGAACTAGCTGTAGTGGCCTCGTAGCTCTTGATTGAGACTGTTTTGGGAAGCTCTTTCTTGATTGTTTACCAAGAAGACAACCTTCACAAAGTTGATCAGGTTGATTCACCAAGGGCAAGCCTTTCACCATTCTTTTGCTAGTCGTAGCCTTAAGTCCTCCAAAGTTCATATGCCCAAATCTCAAATGCTACAGCCATGAAGAATCTTTATAACAAGATGTTAATCATTTAGCCACATCTATATGTATGTTCATAGCAAACATATGATTCTTTGACATTGAGACTTTGGCAATCAAGCTTCCTGCAGAATCTTTCAAGTACAAACTACAACCTTTTGTGAAAACAGCATATCGCCCACACTCAAAATATTACTCTTCATGTCTGGTGCATAATAAACATTTGAGATAAACTGATGATTTCCATCCTTCATGCGTATTAGAATTTTACGTTTACCCCTCACTGGTATTTTGGAGGAGTCTCCAAAGGTGATGTTGCCGCCAACTTTCTCATCAAGCTCCACAAATAATTCTTTGTTTCCACACATGTGGTTGCTTGCTCCAGTATCAAGGTACCAAGAGTGCTTTTCTTCATTCTTCATGTCTTTGCAAGCCAACAAGAGAGTTGTCTCCACCTCTTCATTAACTTCTTTATCTTCGTCTTGAGAGAAATTGGCTTTCACATTGTTGCCAAATCTGCATTCCCATGAATAATGCCCAAACTTATGACAAGTGTAGCACTGAATTTGGGATTTGTCATACCTCTTCTGATATGGCCTTGATCCTCCTCTGCCACGGTCTCTCAAAAAGGAGAACTGAAAATTTTCATCTTTGCTTTGATCAGTGTTCTGAACACTTCTTCCTCCTCTTCCACATCCTCGACCACGACTGCGTCCATGGCCTCGACCTCGTCCTCCTTGACTTATGCCTCCTTTTTGTTCTTTATCACCCAGAGAAAGTCTTGACTGTAGAGCTTGCTCCACAGGCTCTTTCTTTCTTCTATTAAGCTTCTCCTCATGTGCTTCAAGTGAACCACTTAACTCTTCAACAGTCATGTCTTCTAAGTCCTTTGATTCTTCAATGGCCGTCACCACATAATCAAACTTCTCTGTAATTGATCTAAGAATTTTTTCAATTATCCTTAAATCAATCACCTCTTCATCAAGCCTTCTCATCTGGTTGGCAATCCCCATGACCCTTGAAATATAATCTGACACCTTTTCTGTCTCATTCATTTGGACAGCTTCAAATTCACCTCTCAAACTTTGGAGACGAACTTTCTTTGCCTTTTCTTTTCCTTTATAGGCAGCTTGAAGCTTCTCCCACAACTCCTTTTCTGTGGTGGCATTAGAAACCTTCTCAAAGGTAACCTCATCCAATGCTTGGTGAATGAGAGAAATGGCCTTTTGATCCTTTTTCTTGATGCTATTAAATTGATCCTTTTGTGCTTGTGTAAGAGCACTCATGTCTTTGGGAGCATCATATCCATTCTCAACAATTTCCCACACATCATGTGCACCGAGTATGGCCTTCATTCGGATGCACCAATTGTCAAACTTCTCTTTTGAGAATTTTGGAACCTGCAATGAAACTAGATTCCCACTTGCCATTTCGATAAGGAGCTCTGATACCACTTTGTTGGATATAACTGGACTTATGAGGATTCTACAGTGGAAGAGAGGATAGTTTGGAGACTATATTTCTCTGTATTTACTTCATTGAAAATAAGAACTTACAAAGTTATTTATAGATAAATCATAAACACTGGTTCTTCCCTAGTTAACTGGTATACATGAATCCCATTCTTCTAGATACATTATTAAATATTATTCATACCAAATACATGAACTGGATATTCAAGGCATGTTTATCCTTTCAACAGTATCAATGTATCTTTGCTTACTATCTTTTGCACATCAGAATATTTTGATCAATATTGTATCGATCCATTTTCGCTTTCCGTTCAGAAGTTGCGTGTGCACTACAAGGAACCGAGCAAGGGAATCATCAAAATATGCCCTGCATCAGATCTGGATGTCATATAATGAAGGTTCCAAGATTTCTCGTTCCCTCTCATGCCAAGAAGTGGTTAAGGTCACGTAACAAATTATTGGGACCACACAAAAATGATTTTTTCTGTAAGTAATCGGTTTTAGTATTTAAAATATCAATGCTGTGTTTGCTCTGATTCTGATTTTTTTTCAATTTAGGTAATAAAGTATTAAAAATTATTGTATAAAATCTCATTTAAATTTCAATTATGTTATTTAAATGAGTTTTAATGATAGTTAATTATTAAGAGGTATTGATAATAATAATATATTTTATATATAAAATAATAAATTTTAAAAGTATAAAAATTATAAAATTTTCTGTAAGTAATCGGTTTTAGTATTTAAAAT